TGCAATCTACCGATCTGACAAAGGCCTAATATGCAGTATCTACAGAGAACTAAAACAAATTTACCAGAAAAAAAGAAAGAACCCCATCAAAAATTGGGCAAAAGATATGAACAGAAATTTTTAAAAGGAGACATTTATGTGGCCAACAAACATATAAAAAAATGTTCATCATCACTGGTCTTAGAGAAATGCAAATCGAAACCACATTGAAGATCTATCTCATGCCAATTAGTATGGCAATCATTGAAAAATCAGGAGACAGATGCTGGAGAGGATATGGAGAAAGAAAAACACTTTTACTCTGTTGGTGGGTGTGTAAGTCAGTTCAATAATTGTGGAAGACAGTGTAGTGATTCCTCAATGACCTAGAAATAGAAATTCCATTTGACCCAGCAATCCCATTACTGGGTATATATCCAAAGGATTATAAATCATTCTATTATAAAGACACATGCACATATATGTTCATAGAAGAACTGTTTACAATAGCAAAGACCTGGAACCAACACAAATTCTCACTAATTTTAGCCTGAAAAAGAAAATGTGGCACATATACACCATGGAATACTATGCAGCCATATAAAATGATGAGTTCATATTCTTTCTAGGGACATGGATTAATCTATTTACCATTATTCTCACCAATCTGACACAAGAATAGACAATCAAGCACCACATATCTTCACTCATAGGAAAGTGTTGAACAATGAGAACATGTGGACACAGAGGGTGGAGCATCACACACTGAGGTCGGTTATGGGGAGTTAGGGGAGGGACAATGTGGGGTGGGGAGGGATAACATGAGAGAAGTGCCAGGTATAGGTGATGGGGGAATGGAGGCAGCAACAACCTTGCCATATGTGTACCTATGCAACAGTCTTGCATGATCTGCACATGTACCACAGAACCTAAAGTACAATTTCTTAAAATCTTACTTTTTCTACTGTATTGCTAGCAAAAAAAAAAAAAAAAACAGAATTTTACTTCTTTAGAAATAATGACATTTGCTCTTATCCTACAATGAAAAGACAATAATAACTATCTTTTATTTATTATTATTATTATTGAGATGGTGTCTCACTATGTCACCCAGCCTGGAGGCAATGGTGTGGCTGACTGACTGCAACCTCCCTCTACTTTTCGGGTACAAGCAATTCTCCTGCTTCAGCTTCCCAAGTAGCTAGGATTACAGGCATGTGATATCACATCCAGCTTATTTTGTGTATTTTTAGGGACAATAGCATTTCACGGTATTGGCCAGGCTGGTCAAAACTCCTGACCTCAAGTGATTCTCCCACCTCAGCCTCCCAAAGATTAGACGTGTGAGCCATTGCGCCAGGGTGATAATGAGTTTCAATTATATTTTTATATATATTTCCCAGTATTTTCAGTTTCATCATGAAAATGAAAGGGCTCCTTGACCCTGAAGTTTTTAAGAATAAGATCTTAAGATATATGTCCAAAAATACAGAGAGAAATCACAGATGTAGGTCAATTAGGAAGTGATTTTTTGCCTTTGTTCATTCTCCAGGCACCCTAGACTCGCTTATGGCTTTTTCTCCTCCAAGCTTTATATTTAATATAACATTTTGTCTGCGCAACTCTTCAAAATGTGTCTCTTATATTCTTCTTACTTTTTAGCATTACTTCTAAATGATACCAAGGGTTCTCATTAAAAGCCTGAAGGTCATCTTTCTGTGTTCAGTCTCCTTGGTGACCAAGAATAAACACAATTATAGTGCAATCCTCTCATATATGAACTGACATGGACTATGCATGTGAGATTTGAACTTCTCAACTTGACTTTCACAATATGTGTTTAATCAAATTACCAGTTTCCCTCTCTGTGTTTCTGACATATGTAGAAACACAGACATTTTGTTTCTCTCTCTCTCTCTTTTTTCCCCTTTCTCTCTCTCTCTCTCTCACACACACACGCATGCGCACACACACACACACACACACACACACACACACACACACACACACTGCCCAGGCAGATTTCATCTCCATCTCTTTCTTTCAACAATGGCCCACATGTCCTACTAGAGTTTCCTATTGGCTTGACTAATTTTAACATTAGAGCAAATGCCATTTAAGCACCTAACAAAAGGTTAAATACACAATTCAAGTAAATTAATTAAACTGTCATCTAGACACCAAAGATAAATTAATAATCTATGAAAATACAAAAAAATTTATAAGGTATAACTGGTTACAAATAAATTTGTATAACTAATTTTAAATTTAATTAATTTGTTTAAGTAACTTATATTTGAACTTTATAACTAATTACAAAAAAGAAATTTCTTGTTTTTTATAATTAGTTATAAATACTAAAACCTAAGTTTGTAGGTCATAATACAATTTTAATGAAAAGACTCACATTCAGCAAGATCTGATTTGTTTGACAGAGAATTATAAAAAGTACTGCTTTCTATAGAAAAAATATGTTTCATAAACTATTGTACTACAAAGAAATTTCCAACACTTTTCCTCAAGCAACTTATTATTTAAATTTAAAAATAAGTACTTACCTGAAATAAATTCTATTTTTTTATTTTGTAACACATCTACACATTTTATGAAAGTAGAAATGTAGAAATTTGAGCCAGTCTGATCAAGGCAGAAAGACAGTGCTAAACAAAAAAGTAGGGATTCAAGTGGTCAGAGTGGAATTCTGAATTACAAATAATCATATTGCTATATAACATGCTAAATAAAATTATTGATATGAGTTGAGATACTGCCTAAGGGAAGCCTTTGGAGAAAATCAGCATCATGCCAACATTTCAATATGTTGTTTTGGATGCAGAGTTCACACATGCAGTGAATAACCAAGAATTAAATATCCAAATCTTTGCATTGGTTATTAGGTTGATAGAGTTAAGAAAACAAGCAAGCAAAAAAAAAGAAACCTCCTGTCCCAATTGTCTGTAACTTATGATTTGTATAAACATGCAGGGCTGTAGTGTTGCCCTCTCACCAGCAAAATACTGAAGTTCACACATGGTAGGGAGATCAATTCCACCTTTTCAGTCACTATTGGATTTCTTGTTACTTGGTCAAGATTATACATTCATATTGCTTCAAAAGGCCTAAAGAACTAAATAAGTGGAATTTGGTTCACTATTAAGTTTGAATTAATTTTTCACTGAACAGTATGTTAAAATATTTATAGTCTCCAAATTATAATTTAATAATGAATCACAATGAAATGCCCACTTTTTTGTGGTCTCCATCCACACAGTTGTACATACACAACTCTGCAGTCAGGGAGACTACTGATTTTTTTTCATACATGGTCTCATTCCATCCAACATCTTATGTGAGGAGACGTTCTATTGGATTGCATTCATTGTTGCCAAGCCTGGCTCTATAAAATCACCAGCTCCCAGATGATAGCACATCCAATGTATTATAAAAGTAGTTTTAATACTTTGTCCTATTTAAGGTTTTTCTCACAGTTTTGTCTTCCTTTCATTTTATTTTTCGTGTGATTAGTTTATTATGAGAAAGGCCAAACCCTAATTGTTTTAATAGCTCTTATCTCATACATGCACAAACTGTACTGTTAGGCATGAAGACAACTCAGAACACCCCTTGGAAGCACACTGTCTTAAAGTTTAACTCCTTGAATCACAAAATGTCACTTTAACACTAAATTTTATAAGATGATAGAGAGGTCTGTCACCATAATGACAAGGGCAATATGCCTGAAACCACTAAAAGGATGAAGCAGAGTCCTTTAACTTGTTTCTCTGAGCTTTTCTTTGTATCTTAATGATAATGTACTTGTTATAACACACAACCCTCATCTGGTTTTTTATGACATTACTTAGACTACCTGGCATTTACCTAGAGAAAGAGTAATCTGACAGATATGATACAATTTTGTAGATTATTGAATTAATATAGTTGTTTATTTAATATTTTCAGGCAAATCTTACTTAAAAAATGTTTTCCAATGATTGAAGTTTAAAAAAAAATAAAAGAATACATTTTTCCATAAAAGTAATTTATCACACTCTGCATGAAGAACTTTATACAAAGGACACACTTTAGTTTCTACAGTAGATATGTCTATCTTTCTCATAAATTACTTATTTTTATTTGAAATATATTTTGTTGTCTGTTGTTTCTTCTCCTCATCTAAAAATGGCATAAGAAATGCTAACTGAGAAATGCAATACTACTGCGGCATAACTTTAGTCTGGATATTCTTTCTAGGAAATCTGAATCTTAAATCTAAACACACATAAAGATTTCATGTGTTATTAGCAATAGGTTAATATATTAAATGTTATTGTGTTTACAGACTTTCACTGGTGTTTTATAGAAAAATAGGTGAAATTTTAAAAATACAAACACATTAGTTTTTAATATAGCTAGAATCATCTAACTATATTTTGTCACTTGATTGCAGTGGATGTAGGAAAAAAAATTTCAAATTTATGTTAAGAAAATTGATTTTAATGAAATCTAACTATTGTTGGCATATGCATTGCTCGTTATCTTTAAAAAGAAGTTTTTCCTTGAAAACTCAAAAAAGTTGTGAATATCTCAAGTTATTATGACAGAATGAACCATTTTCTCTACCTTTTCAGATTGCAAATTGAAGCATGATACTGTACTTACTTATATTATTGTATTATTATTCTATAGAATCATTCCTTTACAGAGGGTGCAGGTAAAAACATGTAACATTATATGGTCATATTAATTTTCATCTGTAAATAAACATTATAAAAAGTTAATTAGGCAACATATGAAAGTTGTCATTATTTATAGTTTTGTTCATCCAGTAGATGGCTCAATACATACAAGTGGAACACGTGGTAACTTGCTGCAAGAATTGCATTCAGGATATAAAGAATAAACAAAATAAAATAAAATAATTATAGGAGAGCTCATATGAAAGACATTATAGAACCTTACTGGCAAATCTCTTCATACACTGTATGAGAGGGTGGTGTTTTCTGTTTCAATGAGGTACTCACCATTTTCTGTGGGCACATAGATGTTTAAGTAAAGGCAGTCTTCATTTTGATCTTGAGAATAGGTCATCAATGTATCCAAATTGGCGGTAAACCAGATGGGCAGCATGTCATGCAGTAAAGATCTCTCATCCAGGTGCTGGGGACATACAGCAGCAAACTGAGTCGCATTTCGGATGCCAGTCCAGGAGGAGGGGGGCTCAGGGGATTGAAATCGCCTCTCTCCAGTTGGGGGTGAGGCATAGGGAACCCCTAAGTACTGCTCCACTGGACCCAAGATCTCATTGGGTATTGGTGTTCTTAGGCCTCGTACTTTGCCATAATTTGTGTTGACAACTGGATACTGTGCTTGGCTGTCAATGAGAGTGAACTTGATGGCAAGAGCAGTCATCCACAGGAGGACATTGGACTTTAACATGATGCAGACCGGGGTAAATAGCAAAGGAAGCCATAGCAGTATCTTGGGCCGTGACATGGTTCAAATCCTCATTCACATCTGCAGGTGTCCCAGTAATGTTGCTTCAAGTAGACAAAGTCCAGAGCTGAGCCTGTAGAGAGAGAGGGCTTTTTAGAGAGCAGAAGACCTGGGAGAGGGTCTTAGACTGATCACAGATGGAGTCCAAGGTTAAAAGTAGCACAGAAGATTTCCTGGCAGTCCTTCACCAGGGAGCAGTCCTCCCTTAATCCTGAAACTGTATTCCAGCAAGTCCAATGCTCATAGGAAGCTGTGACCAACCAAGACCTCCATAAAACTCCATGGCAGCCTAAAAAAGGCAGAAAACAGGAGGGGACTCAAGATGGCGCTGTGAGAACAACCCAGGATTGGCGCTCGCGTTGAATTCAGAAATGGTGAGTCTGAGCTACATTTCCAGACTGATCTTTGTTGCCCACAGAACGGGGAAACTCCCAAGTATAAAAAAGACACGGATGCCAGGCAGTAGGTCTGCCTGGCGAAGCCGGCAGCTGGGGCGGCGGCAGCCGGCCCTACCCAGCAATCCCCACAGGGCGCCCTTGTCTGGGTGCCTTGTTGAACTGGCAACCTGAGACTTGAGAGGGCTGGACTTGAGACTGAACGAGACTTGCACAGTAGCCCAGCCCAGGGGATTGAAGGGACAGATCGTTTGGGATTCCCAGTGGACGAACAAAACCGCGATTTCAAACTATCCTGAGCAGACGGCCCCAGATGCTCTGTGGGGGAGGGGCATCCACCACTACCGAGGCAACCCGCACCAACTGAGATACACGCCCACTGCTGATGCAGCCAGCCATTGCCGAGGCAACCCGCCCCAACTGAGATACACGCCCACTGCTGACACAGCCAGCCGTTGCCGAGGCAACCCGTCCCTACTGAGAGACACGCCCACTGCTGATGCACCCTGCCATTGCTGAGGCAACAAGCTACAATGAAGAAACTCCACCGAAGGGCGTGGTGGAGACCACAGCAGAGCCTGTAGGAACAGGGCGAATCACACAACAGCAGGGTGGAGCCTCGGCAGCCAAACAGTGGCTAGTCTGCCTTCTAGCTGGGCAGGACACCTCATTGAACATCCAAAAGTAAAGCCCAAACCCCTCAAAGCAGAGCATTTGAGAAAAAAAAAGGGTTTTTTAATGAGCTCTGTTGCAGCAGAATCAAACATAGCAGCCTAACAGCCCTGAAGGAACAACAGAGCGCACAGCTCAGCAATTAAACCCCTATAAAGTACAAACTGTCTCCTCAAGAGCTCCCTGACCCCTCTATATCCAAAAAACTGACATTAGGCAGGCAACATCCTGGGACAAAGAGAGCAGAAAAAGAAACCGGTAGCATGCCTCGCTGTGCCACAGCTACTAGAGGTGCACCCCAGACAAGCAGGGTCTGGAGCGGACCTCAGCAGTCGTACAGCGAAGGGGCTAGACTGGTAGAAGGAAAATCAAGCAACAGAAATACTTCATCATCAACATTCTGGGTGTCCACTCAGAGACCCAATCGAAAAGTCAGCAACTACGCAGATGACCAGTGGAAAAATCCACAAAGATGGGAAGAAACCAGCGCAAAAATGAGGAAAACACCCGAATCCAGAACACCTCGCCTCCTAGAAAGGACCAAAACTCCTCACCAGCAAGGTAACAAAGCTGGACGGAGAATGACTGTGATGAAATGACGGAATTAGACTTTAGAAGATGGATAATGAGAAACTTTTGTGAGCTAAAAGATCATGTATTGAATCAATGCAAAGAAACTAAGAACCTTGAAAAAAGATTTGAGGAAATGATAACAAGAATGGATAACTTAGAGAGGAATATGAGTGAATTAAAGGAGTGGAAAGACACAATACGAGAACTTCGCGAAGCAAACACAAGTTTCAATAGCTGAATTGACCAAGCAGAGAAAAGAATATCTGGAGTCGAAGACCAACTCAATGAAATAAAACGAGAAACCAAGATTAGAGAAAAAAGCGCAAAAAGGAATGAACAAAGTCTCCAAAAATGTGGGACTATGTGAAAAGACCTAACCTATGTTTGAGAGGTGTACCAGAAGGGGACGAAGAGAATGAATCCAAGCTGGAAAATACTCTTCAGGACATGATCCAGGAAAATTTCCGCCACCTAGCAAGACAGGCCAACACTCAATTGCAGGAAATACAGAGAACACCACAAAGATATTCCACAAGAAGAGCAACCCCAAGGCACATAATCGTCAGATTCAACAGGGTTGAAATAAAGGAGAGAATACTAAGGGCAGCCAGAGAGAAAGCTCGGGTCACCCACAAAGGGAAGCCCATCAGACTCACAGCAGATCACTTGGCAGAAACGCTACAAGCCAGAAGAGAGTGGGGGCCAATATTCAACATTCTTAAAGAAAAGAACTTTCAACCCAGAATTTCATATCCAGCCAAACTGAGCTTCAGAAGTGAAGGAAGAATAAAATCCTTTGCGAACTAGCAAGTACTCAGAGATTTTGTCACCACCAGGCCTGCTTTACAAGAGCTCCTAAAAGAGGCACTACACATAGAAAGGATCAACCAGTACCAGCCATTCCAAAATCACACTGAATGCTAAAGAGCTTCAACATAATGAAGAATCTACAACAACTAACAGGCAAAACAGCCACTTAGCATCAAAATGGCAGTATCAAATTCACACATAACAATATTAACCCTAAATGTAAATGGACTAAATGCACCAATCAAAAGACACAGACTGGAAAATTGGATAAAAATCCAAAACCCATCAGTGTGCTGTATCCAGGAAACCCATATCACATGCAAGGATACACAAAGGCTCAAAATAAAGGGATGGAGGAAGATTTACCAAGCTAATGGAAAGCAAAAAAAAGCAGGAGTTGCAATTCTCATCTCCAATAAAATAGACTTTAAAGCAAAAAAGATCAAAAGAGACAAAGAAGGCCATTATATAATGGTAAAAGGATCAATACAACAAGAAGAGCTAACGATCCTAAACATATATGGACCCAATGCAGGAGCACCCAGATACATAAGGCAAGTTCTTAATGACTTACAAAAGGACTTAGACTCCCATACAATAATAGTGGGAGACTTTAACACTCCACTGTCAATACTAGACAGATCAACCAGACAGAAAATCAACAAGGATATCTAGGGCTTGAACTCAAACCTGGAGCAAGCAAACCTGATAGACATTTACAGAACTCTCCACCCCAAATCCACAGAATACACATTCTTCTCAGCACCACATCACACCTACTCTAAAATTGACCACATAATTGGAAGTAAAGCACTGCTCAACAAATGCAAAACAACTGAAATCATAACAAACAGCCTCTCAGACCATAATGCAATCAAGTTAGAACTCAAAATTCAGAAACAGACCCAGAACTGGACAGCTTCATGGAAACTGAACAACAGGCTCTTGACTGTTGACTGGGTAAACAACGAAATGAATGCAGAAATAAAGAAGTTCTTCGAAACCAATGAGAACGAACACACAACGTGCCAGAACCTCTGGGACACATTTAAAGCAGTCTCTAGAGGAAAGTATATAGCAATAACTTCCCATATGAGGAGAATGGAGAGATCCAAAATTGACACCCTATCGTCAAAATTGAAACAGCTAGAGGAGCAAGATCAAAAAAACTCAAAACCCAGCAGAAGACAAGAAATAACTAAGATCAGAGCTGAGCTGAAGGAGATAGAGACACGAAAAACCCTTCAAAAAATCAATAAATCCAAGAGCTGGTTTTTTGAAAAGATCAACAAAATAGACAGACCACTAGCCAGATTGATTAAAAATAAAAGAGAGAACAACCAAATAGATGCAATAAAAAAATGATAAAGGGGAAATCACCACAGATTCCACAGAAATTCAAACCATCATCAGAGAATATTATGAACAACCATATGCACATAAACTAGTAAACCTGGAAGAAATGGATAAATTCCTGGACTCCTGTGTCCTCCCAAGCCTAAACCAGGAGGAAGCTGAAACTATGAATAGACCAATAACAAGGTCTGAAGTTGAGGCAGCAATTAAGAGCCTACCACACAAAAAAAGCCCAGGTCCAGACGGGTTCACAGCCGAATTCTACCAGACACACAAGGAGGAGCTGGTATCATTCCTTCTAAAACTATTTCAAACAATCCAAAAAGAGGGAATCCTTCCCAAATCATTTTATGAGACCAACATCATCCTGATACCAAAACCCAGCAGAGACCCAACGAGAAAAGAAAACTTCAGGCCAATATCCATGATGAACATAGATGCAAAAATCTTCAATGAAATATTGGCAAGCTGATTGCAACAGCACATCAAAAAACTTATTCATCATGATCAAGTAGGATTCATCTCAGGGATGCAAGGCTGGTTCAACATACACAAGTCTATCAACGTAATTCACCACATAAACAGAACCCAAAACAAAAACCACATGATTATCTCAATTGACGCAGAGAAGGCATTTGACAAAATTCAACAGCCCTTTATGCTAAAAACCCTCAATAAACTCGGTATCGATGGAACATATCTCAAAGTAATAAAAGCAATCTATGACAAACCAACAGCCAATATCATACTGAATGGGAAAAAACTGGAAGCATTCCCTTTAAAATCTGGCACTAGACAAGGATGCCCTCTCTCACCGCTCCTATTCAATATAGTACTGGAAGTTCTAGCCAGAGCAATCAGGCAAGAAAAAGAAATAAAGGGTATTCAAATAGGAAAGGTGGAAGCCAAATTGTCTCTATTTGCAGATGACATGATAGTGTACCTAGAAGACCCCATCGCCTCAGCCCAAAAACTCCCGAAACTGATAAGCAACTTCAGCAAAGTCTCAGGATATAAAATCAATGTGCAAAAATCACAAGCATTCATCTACACCAATAACAGACTTAAAGAAAGCCAAATCAAGAGCGAACTGCCATTCGCAATTGCTACAAAAAGAATAAAGTACCTTGGAATACAACTTACAAGGAACGTAAGTGACCTCTTCAAGGAGAACTACAAACCACTGCTCAACGAAATCAGAGAGGACACAAACAGATGGAGAAACATTCCATGTTCATGGTTAGGAAGAATTAATATCGTGAAAATG